CCCTCCCCTGGCGGGCAGGCTTACCTGCTTCCTCAGGGCCTCAAAGGCGGCGCTGATGGTGTGCACCCGGGTCCTCTCGCGGGCGTTGGCCAGCAGGCGCCTGGTCTGCTGGATGGCTTTGATCTCCGACGAGACCCCGGCCGCCTCCCCCGGCCGTTTCCTAGGCGATAGAGAGGCATCGGGATTGCCGCTGTAAATTACGTGGGAAACCGAAGAGTAGGAACTTTCCAGTGGTCGCTGCTGCTGCTGTTGCTGCTGCTGCTGCTGCAGCTCGGGCGGCGCGGGCGGCGGACACACCATGATCCTGGACTGCAAGCTGTGATCCGGAAAAGCCTGGCTTTCTGCCCCGTTCAGACCGACCGACCGGAGACACGTGTCTTTCCTCACGGGCTGCTGGTGGGATGCGAGGAGTCCAGCGGGAAAAACGTGTTTCCTCATATCTACCACCACCCCCCCGCCGCCGCCTCTGCCTTCCAGGCGGTCGGGGGCGGGCGGTGTGGCCGCGGCCCCCTCAGGAGCGCCCACCGTGCCCTCCGGGCGAGATCCCCCCTCGGCCCCCGCGGTCCCGCCGAGCACGTGCTCGTGGCCCTTCGAGCCCACCTGGAAACTCCGGCAGGCGCCGAGCGGGGTCTTGGCGGGCTCTTTGCTCTTCCGCTTGAGCTTCTTGATGCCGCCGAGTTCCCTCAGGCAGAGGCGCTTCCACCGCGCCTCCTCTTCCACCAGCTGCATGTTCTTCATGGTGGATGGAGTTCGTGGCTCTCCCCCTCACGCCGCGGTCCTCGTCCCTCAGGCGGCCCCGAGGCTCCCACCCAGCGAGTCACTCACTCGCCCGCCCTCCCCAGCGCCGCTGCCCCCCCCCCGCTCGCTCCCTCGCTCGCTCCCGGGAGACCGCCGCCTGCCTGCCTGCCTGCCCTCCAGCCCGCCGGGGCTGTTGCTCGCTGCTTTGGCGGCGGCGGCGGCGGGGCTTTGCCGAGCAGCTGCCGCCCTTCCAAGCCCGGCTCTGCGAGAGACCGTGATGGGAGCAGCAGGCGGCTCAGAATGTCATCTGAAGTCCCTGCCGCATTGCCAGCATTTTTGGGGAAGGCACGCCGAGCGACCCATCTGTGTTTGTTTAGCCTCAGTTTACACAGAAGCCCCTGTTAGCGAGATCAGTCGGCGGGCCGCCTGCCTGTTCCAAGGAGCCCGCCTGCCTGCCGGCCTCGCACAGCCCGGAGACTTTCCAGCTTGTGCAAACCGCACTCGGGAGCGTCTTTAAAGGAACAGGAAGCGTTTTCCGAAGCAGCTGCGCTGCCAATCTCTCGCGCTCTCCCCCCCTGGCCGACTCCCTCCCCGGCCCGCCACAACACTTTTGTATCCCCGGCTCTGGCTTTCATTCCTGTGCATGATCTTCTGTGTCTTCATCCCACACGCAGCAGCACACGCCTCGGCTTTGAAACGGCGCCCCGGGTTACACTTGGAAAGCCTTGCTCATCCTCATAGAAGGACTGCTCAGGGCTGCACGACACGAGTACGCAGTCAGGAGGCGGCGTTCACACGCACACCCAAGAGCCTCTCCTGAACCGTCTCCCCTTTCGACCCACTTGCGGAGGACTTTACATTATTCTTCTACACCAGAACATGACAGTTCATTTATATGCAAAGTGAGAAAGAGGTAACATATTCGTCCAAGCTCAGATGACTGTTTAAAGATTAAAGCCCTCAACAAACAGCCTTGCAGTTTACAAATGATCTGCACTTAGGAAGAAGCAGTGAGGTGACTACTAGAGACATACATTTATTTATTTATTTATTTATTTATTTATTTATTTATTTATTTATTTATTTATTTATTTATTTATTTGATTTCTATACTGCTCACCTAGAACGCATCTACTCTGGGCGGTTTACATATAACATAAAATAAAGTAACGTAAAAGCCAAGTTAATCACAGAGTCCAAGATGGGGAAAGGAAGAGAAGAAGAAGAAAAAGAGAGAGAGAAAGGGGGAAATAGGCTAGAGATGGGTACAAACCGAAATATGAACCAGAAAAACCCACAAACTGGTTGGTGGTTTAGTTCACAAATCCTGTAAAGAAACCGTTTTGCTGAAATGAAACAAAGCACTGAACTACCCCCCCTCCCTTTCATTTTGTTTGGCATCAGTCATAGCCGGGCAGAATGGGATGTGCTCCCACCCACTGCCCCCATTGCCTCCTGTAGTGTTCACTCTGCTCATTAATATTTATGTTGAGATTTGCATGCACCAATAGGAGTTGGTGAGGGGCAGAGAGTTAGAGCAGGCGGTTGAGAGTGGAGAAAGATGGTTGTTTGGTTGAGAGTTAACGACATTGACTGGACTGTTATCACTTGTAACAATAAACAATTTCTACTTGGTTCTTAAATGATAAGTTGCCTGGAACGCTGTCATTAATAATGAATAAAGTTGATGTGATCAACTGGTGGCAGCTTGTGCCTTTGCTTGGTGATGCTGTCCTTAATAATGAATAAAGGACAGGGCAGAAACGTGACAAATTTGTGGCATAGTAGTCAGATCTGAAACAATCCAGTGTGAAATTGAATTTTCTTGAGTCTGGACGGAAAGGGGGTTAGATATGTGTCATAGGAAGTGGTTACCCATTAGAGTCTTGTGGAAGACTTAGTTTTGGGGCTTCTGAACCAAGTCTGAGGCATCCCAAGAAGAGGTCCTTTTGGCTCTTGTGAGGGAAAAGAATCAGTATGATTTAATAAGAAATTGTTTATGCTGCCCAAACGAAGTAAAAAGTTGGTTATGGAGGCAGAGGTTGAGCTCCAGGATTTTGAGGGAAATGGGAACCCTTAAATTCAAAGTGAAGACGAAAGTTAGGCACCTGTAATGATTGCCTCAGAAGGAGAAAGTATCCAAAGCTCCCAAGATTTTGAAAGATGGAAGCTGGTACAGGAATTTAAACTGAAGGAACTAGCTATGAAAAACCAATTAGAGTTGGAGGATCTAGCTATGAAAAACAATTAGAATTGGAAAAAAAATCAGAGATCTTGAAAGGAAAAGGGAATTTGAGCAAGAAACCAGGCAAAGAAAAATGCCATTCCAAACTGAGATGAAGAAATGGAAATACAGTAGCTGCCTGTAACAAGAAGAAGAAGAAGAAGAAGAAGAGAAATGCGGTTCCAAACTGAGATGAAGAAATGGAAATAGCTGCCTATAACAAGAAGAAGAAGAAGAAGAAGAAGAAGAAGAAGAAGAAGAAGAAGAAGAAGAAGAAGAAGAAGAAGAAGAAGAGAGAAAGGAACTAGAAAACTTAGAGATAGAGAAATTGCAGAGGGATCTGATGTATATAAAGAGACATTTTTTAAAATTTAGCCAAATCTTTCCTGATTTCATTTGAGAGAGCTTGTTGGGACTTTAAGGTTAAATATGATGAGAGGATGATAATTTTAAGGTCACAGATAAGGGGAGTTTTATCTGAGATCTATTAACAGATGCATCTTGAACAAGCTAGAGATTTTGAGGCTTACTGAAAGATGGTGTATTCTGGATCTGGGATTCATTCAGAGCATCTCAGGAGAAAAATTCGATCAATTTCAAAGAAACCTGAGGAGTCTTTTGCTCAACTTGGGGCACATTTAACTCAGTATCTTGATAAGTGGCTAGAGCAGGAACAGGTCACCTACTTAGACCAAATGAGAAATGTGTTTGGACTAGTACAATTTTATTCAATTTTAGCAGGGGAATTGCGTTATCTTGTCAAGGGGAAGGATCCTTAAAATGCAACAGACGTCTGAGTATGCTGATTTTATTAGTGGGATCAAAGATCTTTGATTCTCTGAGGTAAAAACTGACAGAAAAGTTTGGGACATCAGTAAGAAAGCATCCTCATCCAGTAAGAATTACCTCAGTCATGCTGAAGTTGGGGAAAGCCACTTTAAAGCAAGACTTTCATTCTCAGAGCAAAGTCTACTGAGATTGAATAATAATCCTGAGGGAAAAGCTGATAAATCCCTTTACTCTGAAGATAGGGCAGATAAATGATGTTATACTTGTGGTAAAGAAGGACATTTTTGGTCCTAATGTGAACCTCATAAAAATAAAAAATTCGGTCAGCTTAGAAAAGTATTTTGCCTTCAGCCATTGGCTGTTGAAGCCTCTAACAACTGCACTGTTGCTAAGGAAACAGACTTGGCAGAGAGCCCAGAGCTTCCCAAGGGCAGAATGATACAGTGTTATTTAATCCAGTGTGACCAAGACGTACTGGAAAGCTCTGGAGAAATGATTTTAGTCAATGGAAAAAAGTATCTAGGCATTAGAGACTCATGTTCTCAAGTAACTTTCTGTCACCCAGACATAATTCCTAAAGAAAATATGTTGGAACAGGAGAGAATTACCTTTAAAAAGCAAAAAGCAAAGCAAAACGTGCTGCTTATATACTGCCCCATAGCGCTTCAAGCACTCTCTGGGCAGTTTACAAGTTAATTATGTAGGCTACACATTGCTCCCCCGGAAGATGGATACTCATTTTACTGACCTCAGAAGGATAGAAGGCTGAGTCAACCTAGGGATAAGGGATAAGTTCAGATTTTGTGGTATTGCCAATGGCTAGAGTAGCATTGAATTACCATGGGTGGTCTGGTATATGGAAAGTAGCTGTGTCAGACCAAATCCCAGTTCCTTGTCTGATTGGTTTGGATCTCTCAAACATGTGCACAGTATTTGCATGGTAACCCACTCTCAGGGGAGGCAGATTGTAGCTGCTGAGGAAAGCATGGGAATCCTGACCATTGAAACTCTCACTGAAAGACCTGGTTTAGGGGACCACCCTGAAATAAGGGAGACTGCTGATTTGGTGCTGATGAAAAATCCTAATACAGTGGACCCTTGACTTACGAAATTAATCCGTATTGGAACGGTGGCCGCAGATCAAAAATTCCATAGGTCGAGCGTCCATTTCCCATAGGAATGCATTGAAAACCATTTAATCTGTTTGAGCCAAAGAAAAAAAATCCCAGGCTTCCAAAGCTGTATCCGCTGCCTTCTGTCCCTGCTGCCCTCTGCCTCCCATCCCTGTGGGGACAGGAGGCATAGGACACTGGGGACAGGAGACTGGGCAGCGGGGGCAGCTTTGGAAGCCTGGGAAGCCAAAAGCCGCTCTGCGTTCACTGCCAGCTTTCAGGGCTTAGAAAGCTGCACCCGCTGCTCTCTTGTCTCCTGT